TGTATGATCTTCACTGCCGAGTTCACATCATAGCCTAGGATAATCACTCCAGCTATCACATCTGTATTCCTTCTTTCAGGAAAAAAGAAAGAATTATGAGGCGAACGTGGCTTTGTTTTAAGAATACTGCTTAAATGGCTTGGTGGTGGCCTATACTTGGAATCCCAGCACTCTGGGAAGCTCAAGCAGAAGGATCACAAATTCAAGCCCAGCTTGGGCAACTTGATGACTTAGCAAGACCCTGTCTTAAAATTTAAAAAGGGCTGGGGATGTAGCTCAGTGCAGGCCTGAGTTCAATCCGCAGTACTGTGAAAAAAATACTGCTCAAAGTTGCACACTTTATTTGTAGGCAAATCCTTCTGATCAGAACTGAGTCACAGGGCCACACTTTGCAGCAAAGAGGTTGGGAAATATAGTGTTGGTTCTAAATGGCTACCTAAAATGTAGGAGTTGTATTATTATAAAAATACCATGATGGAAGAACATAGGAACTATTGGAAGCTTTTAATTTCTTTTTGATAAGGGAATGATCTGATCAGTTCAGGAATAGAGAAGGAAGAAGGGGCTAGAGAAAGAAGAGAGTGGAGGCAAGGAGGCAGTTATGTAAGTTCAGACAGATGATGTGGCCATGAGATAGGACAGTGGCCAAGGAGAGAGAAAAGAGGACGTGGATTAGTCACATGGTTTGTGATTAAAAATGCAGTGCCTGGTGAGTGTGGCTGTGCGCGAGGGAGAGGAAGACATCTACAGAGTCAGGCCCCCTTTCCTGAGTGGGGCCTTGGAAATGGCATTGACACTGACTGATTTGGGGATCCCAGGAAGATCTTGGCAGGGAGGGAGAAGTGAACTCTGGGAAGACTGGTTTCAATTTGAAGAGCTGGGCATCCCCGGAAGGAAGTTCTAGCTCGTCCCTGCTGCCCCAAGAGGTTAGCAGGAATAGGCAGTTAGTCCGGGTGGGTAGGAGGAGAAACACATTGGAGGGGGTGCAGGTCAGACCCTCATCCTCTCCCGGTACTGCCAGTGGGGTTCTTATTGTCTCAGGAGCTGCCAAACAACTCTCCAAAGAGTTGCAAGACAGAAGCATTTCAAATTCCCTCCAATTAAAAGGAGTGGATCAGTGTATCCCTAGAGTCTGCTGCTGTTGGAGAAGGGAAGGGGGAGGGTTCCCAAATTCACAGCCAAGCCTTTAGGTGGCATCATCCGGACTTGGAGGGAGGTGCTGGGGCCCTGGAGAGGGGCAGCCACGCGCCAGCTGGCTGTGCCAAGTGAGGGAGCCGCACGCCTGGGGTTCTGCCATGTGTTTGTTTTTTTGGTTTGGCTGATGTATAACATACACACACAGCCTCACAGCCTCAGGGGCTGTGTGCAGAGCCCACATTCAACCCTCAGCTAAGATTAGAGACTGAAGAAAATGAAGGAAAGGCAACATAGCAAACACAGCCAGGTAGCAGAGTTGGCTTGTTCTTTCATTCATTTATTTATTCATTCACTCATATAGCAGATGAATGCCAGATGGGAAGGCAAGGCACTGGAGCTAGAAAGTAGGTACAGCACAGTCCCCAGGGAGCTCAAATACATGGTCAAGGGATAGAGGCAAGGAAAGAGGTCATTTTAGTGCAAAATGAGAAGCGTCTGATGCATGTCATGGTACACCTCTGGTCTAGTCCTCTCATAGCCTAGAATCACATGGAGGCTCGATCTGATCCCCTCATCTCTGTCCAGGATTTCACAGGCCTGACAACTGCACTCTCAAAACCCCAGCCATGCTCCAAATTCAGGGGATTCCAAGCAGCCCCAGAATCATGCTGTGTGTCATGTTGCCTGATCTCTGCACACTATTTCTCTTGTTTAACTGGGGTTTCCCTCTCTTCTCTGCCACTTCCCACTAAGTTGTGAAGGTCCAGTGTGATTGTCTCCCTTCTGGTGACCGTCCCCTGGGACCTCCTTGCCTCTCCTGCTGTCTTTAGGGTTAGCACTATCCCCTTGCTACTTTCTTAGTTCACCTGCTTATTTCCCCTGTGGCTTGTGAGCAGCTGCAACAGAAACAGATTTTACCTGCATCTCCATTCTGGCAGCTAATCAATGACTGGCACAAAAACACTCTTAATAAATGCCTGTCCAAATGAACGGACATAATTTAGTGCCACCATGGGGAGCCTCAATTAAAATACACTGGGATCCTGGAGTCAAACGCCACTGTGATTCAATTCCAGAGCTCTGCCCCTTCTCTTCTTGAAGCATTGGTGTGCATATTCATCAGCATAAGCTGATAATATTCCATGAGTATAATATATGTGAAAATGCTTTTGTGTGTGTTCATCTTTCTTTAATGTATGTACATGCTCATATATAACTTGTATTATTATCATTCTAAGAAGATAAGGCCCTACCCAATGGCAATCTAGTAGGCAAAGGGATGGCTGAGTTCAAATTCTTGAAAGATGCCTCTCATGAGTGTCCCACAGTGCCTACTTCTCTGTTTGTTCCAGCTCTCCAGACTGACCTCTGTCTGGCCACTTTCCCTGTAAACATCTTTGTGAGCAGTGTTGCAGTGTGGTAAGAGCACGAACCATGGACCCAGATCACAGGGGTTCAAATCCTGCCTTGAATGGACACAAATCTTATGTCCTTCTCAGACTTCTAGTTAACTCTTTCTTTCTCTCTTGATTGGAGTTCTCTGCCATTTCTTGACTTGAGTGGAATGCCACATCATAGAAGTGGTATCCGGTTTCTGGAAAGCACTACTCCTTAGATTGAGACAACAAGGAAACACTGCCCTGGCCTTCACTCTGACCCACCTATGTCACTGCCTTAAAATGAGAAATCAAAGGGTTGTATCACCTTAGCATTCTCATCCTCTCCTTGTTAGACTATGCTATAGCTGCCACAATCCTCAGCCCGAATATCCTTGAGTCTGCTTCAAGGGCCTAGAGTGGCCCTTTTTCAGTGTGCACACCCAGGCCTGAAGTGTGACCAAAGAGTGATTGTGAGGGTTAGGAGCAGCACTTAATTCTCACATGTGGACTTTGAGGCTGCTCATGGTGTAGGGCCAAGATGGAGAAGGGATGAATAGAGAAGAGCCTTAGAGACCACAGGTTGACTATATCCTACCCACCCTACCCAACCTGGTGCCCCACAGAGTTCTGAGAATTCTGTATTTTAATGTGGACTTTCAGGCCATAACAAAAATGTGTTTGACAAGATAGAAGAATAGAAACACTCTATTCATCATTTTCTTTTCCTTATGTGTAACTTCTAAATATTTATATATATTTTATGTGGCTCTCTATATTAGTCAGCTTGCTTAGTTCATTCAGGCTGCTGTATAAAAAAAAGCTTAGAATGAGTAATATATAAACAACAGAAATTTACTGCTCACAGTTCTGGAGGCTGGGAATCTATGATCAAGATGGTGATGATTCACTTTCTGCAGATGGCCACTTTCTTGCTTTGTCCTTACATGGCCAGGATTGGAGTCAGTCTTTTCTTAGGAAAGAACTAATCCTAACATGAAGGCTCCACCTTCATGGTCTAATTATCTCCCAAAGACCTCACCTTCAAAAACCATCACATCAGGAGTTAGAAATTTGAACATAGAATTTTGGAGGACACAATCATCCATAGCATGCCTAGCTATGTAATGTTGCTCTGGGTTTCACTAGTGTTAGATGTGGGCCTGAGGTAATACCATCTGGAAGTATTCAATAGTGTACTTAGCAAGGTACTTAACTTCCTATGGGGTGATCCTTAGTGAGAAAAGGGTATCAGAGAAAGCCAACTCATAAATACTTCTTTCCCCCTCTCCTTTGTGAACTGGTCTGAGAAGTAATATCTCCTTGCAAATCACTCAGAAATATCCTAGGTTCTGGAGCTTAACTCTCATGCAAGCTCATGAGTCTCAAGGAGATTGAGCTGAAATGGAGCCCAGCTGACATGCATGGTGTTCCATCTTTCCTCAACTCGCTTCCCTGTTTAACTCATCCTTAGTACCCCTGGGGGTTTCCCCCAAAGGCTCTGGTTTTGCTCTGCTACATGCCAGCGCTTTAACCCTAGCCTTGGGCTCACCTTTTCAAAGGATTTGGAATAAAGACAATCCTCTGCCACTTACTAGCTATTACCTTGAAGCAGTTACTTAGCCTCTCCATGCCTCCATTTTCCACTGTAAACGAGGAGAAATGCTAGTAACTCCCACAGAGTTCTTATGAACAGAAGACTAAATGAGTCAATAAAAGTCAATATACTGTCCTATAACTGTAAGCTTTTATCATTGCTCTTCTTTCAAGAATACCGTATTAGTCTTCTTGAGCTGCTATAACAAAATTCCACAGACTGAATAGCTCAAACAACAGAAATTTATTTTCTCATAACTATAGAGACCAGAAGTGTGGTAGGTAGGCTTGGTTACTTCTGAGGCTTTCCCTTGGATTGAAGGTGCTGTCTTCTTCTTGTGTTCCCGTGTGGTCCTTTCTGTATGTATTCATCCTTCTGTCTCTTTTTGTCACCAAATTTCCTCTTCTTACAAAGACATCTGCCAGCATGGATTATGGTTCCCTTGATGCCCCCACTTTAACTAAATCATCATTCTACAGGTTCTATCTCCAAGGCAAGTCACATTCTGAGGTGCTGGAGTTAGGACTTCAACAAATAAACATTGGAGAAACACATGCCAGCTCCTAACAGGTGCTCTTAAGTGCTACTGCCAAGGAGAGTGACCACCTTATCCAGGTTTACCTGGGATTTCTCTGGTTTTAGATTCGAAATTTCCGCCTTCCAGGAAATCTCTCGTCCAGAGCAAGGCAGGAAGATCGGCCATTTTAGTTCTTCTAGAAGCCTTGCCAGAGTCATAATATGTAAGGACTAGAAGGACTAGATGAACCTAATACAGGTCTTCAACTTACAATGTTTCCACTTAGGAGTTTTTTTGACTTTATGATGGTACAAAAGCAATTCACAAAAAGTAGAAATTGTACTTCAAAATTTGTATTTTGATCTTTTCCCAGATTGGAAATGCACGATATGATCCTCTCGTGATCCTGGATAATGGTAGTGAGCCACACCTTCTAGTCAGCCTGTGATCTTGAGAGAAAACAGCTGGCACTTTACTGTGTACTGTTGCTAAGCTATGTTGGGTAGGTTAAGTGTATCAAATGGATTTTTTTTTCAAATGCGTTTTTAACTTAAAATATTTTCAATTTACAATTGGACATAGCCCCAGTGTAAGTCAAGGAACATCTGTGTATTTAGAACTCCATACTTTCTTGTGAAGTTTGACATCTATTAACTTTCTTGAACCTCACTTCAAAATTGTGAAGTAGGTTGTACAGGAAATAATATTTCAATTACAAAATCTGGGAAACAGGCTCTTTGCTGGCTGGCCCTGTTTATCTTTCTCCTGGTTGTTTCATGACTAGGTGGTGCCTAAGCCAATATGAAGTCATCATGTCGGCTTCAATCCAAGCTGCCCAAGGTCCTAGGCAAGAGGTAAGTAAGCAGGATGCATCTGTGAGTGAGTCCTGAAGATTCTCTATACAAAGGTGAACTAAAGACAGACAATCATTCCTACACTACCTGGGTGGAAGTGGTATGTGGGCCACAGGCTGGGCTTGGGAGCAAATGCCTCTGGCTGGAAAGCAGGGAGGGCGAGGGGGAAGCAAGGTGAGATGTAGGCTGTGCTTGATGATCTGTTCTGAAAGGCAAGTAGGGAAGTCATTGATTAGTGAGCTTTTTTTGATCTGCTCAGGGATCAAAGGGACAAACACCAAGTGTGAAGATGAAAGTTGACCTGGAAACCCTGTGTCCCAGCATGCTGGGAGGCCAGGCTGCCCTTTGCCCATGGGTCAGGGAGGAAGACTCACAAAAACCCATAGGCCAGACTGCAAGCACATCTCTTCCTCAGCATGACCTCTGAGCTCTCCTCTCACCCAGTGCCTTTAAGGACAGCTTTCTCTTGGCCCTCAGGCCCTCTTTGGGTTCAGGAAGCTCAAGGTCATTGGGGGGGCCAGAAATCAAGCATTACCTCTGGCCTTTGAAGACCATGGACAAGTCATCATCTCCTGAGCTTGGCGGACTGAAGGTGCATCACTGTGAAACCCCTAAACTTATCACAGGGTGGGGCACAGAGGAAGACATCTCAGCTCCTAATCCTCAAAGAATAAATTGATAGTAGTTTGCTTTGAGGATGAGGGAGAGGAGAGAACCATATTCAGAGGAATCCAAGGAGGAGAGACACAACATGACAGGCTAGGAACTGGGGAATATAACTGAATTTTAAACCTGGGTCAGCATCTGTATCCCTTATTGAATCCTAATGATGTCCAATGCGGTGGCCCTGGGATTATTCCATGTCATAGTGGAATGAGACAGATGAGGCTAAGTTTGAGTGACTTGCCTAAAGTTATGGCTTTGGCATATGGCAAAGCCAGGATGTGGACTCAGACCTGCCTACTTGACATAGAAGCACAGTCATATCCATGTTCTAGAAATTTCCCTACTCCCTGGAGAGTACTAGAGGGGCTGGCAGTAGAGGCAGAGAGATCAGTCAACACTCTGCTGCAGTAGTTTTAAGTAGCTAAGATAATCTCTCAAGTCACTGGATCAGATGTGCAAAACATGAAATTTATTTTCTATAGTCTGGAATCCACATCTTCTGTTGACAGAAACGTAACCTTGATTCAGAGGGTTCTTACTCTATCCCTTATCCTCGCGATGGCATTTGAGCTCTGCGTGGGGAAGGGCTCTGTGACATCAAGCTAGGGGATGGAACAAGATGATAGCTAGGGAGGTTGCGGTGGCTGGCATCTAGTCCTCCTCTGATATCCAGGCCCCAGCCAGTCTCTGGGCATTAGTCCACATAGGTTGGTCTTGTGGTCCTTTTACTTTCTAGACCACGAGGTCCAGTCTCTACTTTCTGAGGACCCTTTAGTCTCACTTTGTGGCAAATTCATGGGATCCAAATTAGCTCCTATGCCTAAATGTCCTGCACCACTAAAACTTCCTGTTTCTTTTTCGGTGGGTAGCAGAGTCTGGGATTTTGCCATTGGCCCGGGCCTAATATGAGACGTGGGGCCCAGGCTCCTTTGTTTCCAGATTCCAAAGCTAGAGGGGAGAACTCTACCTAGCCTCAGCCTAGATATCCACCTCATTATCTTCCTCTCTTATTCTCTGCCAGTTCTTCCAGTTCTGTTGAACTTTATATTTTCCATAAATATTTTTTCAAATCTATTGTATAGGCTAGGAAGTTTCTCTTTAAACCAATGATTAGCAAACATTTTTCTCTTTGTTTTTCTGCTATAACTATCTTTCTACTGGAAGCTTGGTACTAGAGACATAGAAGCACGTCAAAGCACTCGTGTTGGGCAGACCCAGATAATAAATTAGGGTACAATATGTTAGGTGGTGATAAGTGCTGTGAAGAAATGTCAGCAAGAAAAGGGGGCAGAATGGCAGGGATGGGATTGTGGCATTTTAGACAAGGATTAGGGACGGCCTCTCAGATAAGGCAGCATTTGAGAGAGAATCAAATGAAGTTGGAAATACGTCCCTGTTCTCCAGAGCGGGGAGGCATCAAGTGCAAAGACTGATGCAGGCACAGTGTCCATGGAGGAGCAGGAGATGGATGATGGAGCAGGCAAGAGATGGAGAGCTAGAGGAAGGAAAAAACCAGGGTATGCAGGACCAAGGCCCAGTAGAAGTAGTAAGGACTTTAAATTTCTTTTTTTAATGAGATAAGAATTCTGAAAAAGAAAGATTCTGAGCAAAGAAATAGTGTGACTGAATTGTTTTTTGACAGAATCACCGTCATCACTATGGAGAGTGACTGTAGAGACCAAGAGTGAAGTATGGCAGCCAGTGTGGACACTGCTGCTGAGGGGCCAGGTAGAGGGAACAGTGGCTTCTACAGAGCCATAGCCATGGAAGTGATGAGGGGTGATGAGACTGGGAATATGTCTTTAATACATTTGCTTAGGTTTGAGTATGGGCTGTGAGAAAAGTCAGGAAGACACCAGCACATGGGCACACTGAGGAGAGATGCTGCTACGGGTAGATGTTCTTGAGAGACAGTTAGTTTCTCCATCTATAAGATGAAGCTGCAGGCAGTTTCCCAGGGTGCACTCTCAGGAACAACACTGAGGAGGGTGGGAAGAAGCCAGAGTTGTGGTGTGGTGCAGTCATGACAGAGGATTCAGCTGACCCTACAGGAAGCTAGGGAGCGGAAGCAACCCTTCATTATGGTCCCAAAGGGCAGATCTTTGTGTCCTCACATCAGCCAGTCATCAGAGGCAGGCAGCCCCTGGAGACCACACACAACCATGGAGAGGTGGCTTCCGTCCACTGAGGGCAAGTCCTGGAGAGAGTCGCCAATACTCTCAGCAGCCCAGATCCTGAGCGCACTCTGGGTGGCATGCTACCCTGTGCTTGCCAAGTTCTCTCTCAAGTCTCATGAAGAGGAAACAGGGGGACCTCTCAGAGGAGGTGCTACCTGGATTGATTTAGAAGGACCCTTTGGTACTCTTCTCATTCATGTGATTTTGATCATGAAAGAGAATAGGTTTGAACAAGACCCAACTCGAGTCCAAAAACTACTCTAATTATGCTCATTGGTTCCATTTTAAACTACACAAAATTTTGATATTAATTGCCTTTTAGGCTAAAGTGTTTTCAGATCCCCAAATTATAATAAATTCCTCTGATTTATAGCTAGTCTGTTGTATTGTTTAAAAAAATCTATTGATTCAAAAGCATATAACTATTTTTGAGGCAAAATAGAAATATTATAATTGGTTCAAATTTTTGGCAACTGAATAGTCCTCAATGAACAGAAGTCAAATGTGCTGATATTTTTAATAGCTCTCATTGGCAGAAAGTTTCTTCTAAGAGCTAACATAAATCCTGTTTGGTGCAATTTTGGACATTTCCTCTAAATGTTTTTTACAAAGGAGCTGGAGAATAGCTGGCATCCAGATCTGTGGACAGGCCATTCCTGCACTTAAATCATATTTATGACGATGATTCTCACCCTTCTGAGAAGGAAATATTGGATTTGGGCCCTAGATGCTGCCAGAATGTATCCTAAAGAGTGTATGGTTAGTGAATGCGTAGGCATGTATGCATGTGTGGTTATGTATTTACATCTCTAGGTTGTACAGGGCTATGTGGAAAAATGCACACATATGTCTGTAGGCAAATATGATGAGTATGCAGGGGAGATGTGCATGAATAATTTTGTTTGTGTTTGCGAGAGAATCAGCATTTCTAAGGGTATGTTTATAAAGCACCTACATCTGCCCAGCTAATTCCATTGTACATATTTAGGATTAGAAGTGTGTGTGTGTGTGTGTGTGTGTGTGTGTGTGTGTTAGTGAACATATGTAGGCATATTAATAGTTCTTCCCAGCTTCACAAAGTAATCAGATCTCATGGTTCAGTGGTGGGAATATCAATGCCAGGGTCAGGTTTCTCGCCTGCAGCAACTTTACTTTAGTGATTCTACTCCAAACATTTTCCTCAGGGGCCTCTGTAGTTCTTTCCTCTTTTCCCTCCAGGGGTCAAAGCCCAGAGGGGCCTCAGGCAGCTTCCCAGCCTTTGGAGCTACTGCTCTGATGTCCACCCCAGGAGCCTTGGCTGTGGCAGTCTTGTCATGTCGGACTCTGTTGTCACTGCCAAAGTGACAATTGATGATCAGAACTAGGGCTGCCCAGAAACCCAACTTCTGTGCAGGGCTCTTTGATCTGCCCAGGCTTGGAGTGGAGCAGAGCCTGGCACAGGTGCCTTTGATGGGCCCTGGCCAATGAGGGACCTGCAGGCTGCCCCTACCCAGTCCCCTCAGCCTTTGATGTCCACCCCACCCTACAAGGGCCAGCTATAGAAGCGGACAAGTTGGGGAAAGAGCCAGTCATACTGTACCTTGCCCCTCAGCCTTAGAGGAAGATCGCCATCTGGGTGCTGGCCTGGTGAAGCTTGGATCTAAGAAATACAGAAGCTGATTCTTAGAAATATTGCTTTGCAACTACCTGCTTATTGATTCAGGTAGGATTACACTTACAGAGTCAGCAAAGCAAAGTCGTTACATGCACTGCTGTCATGTCAAAGTGCTTATGATTCCAACTTGGGTGAGTTAGTAACTTACATATGCCCCTCTGTCTCCATTTTCTTTTCTGGTATTAAGTTGTTATAAGGACCACATTAGATATTGCAAACAAGGCACCTGACATTTATTAAGGCCCACAAATGCCATCTGTCACTGCAGGGAGGCTACAAGATTGAGTGGTAAAATCACATCGGACTGGTAGTCCTATGACCTGGGTTTGGATCCCAGCTCCACACAGTGGCTGCATCATTTCTTAGTTAAATTATCTCAGAGGCTTATCGTGAAGATTAAATGAATATATATGTATATATATTAAGATTAAATGAAAAGATATATATATATTTGATACCACCTTCCCTCACTCAAACTGTTCCTCCTCAATTTGAAGAATGCCACCACTCATCCACCCAGTCTTCCAGTGTGGAAATTGGAGAGTCATCTTTGAAGCCCTTACCCCTCTAGTCGCTATATACACATTGCAAGATATCACAAATACTTTTTCATTTGATCCCTTACATGTTTCTTGTTTTCATCTTCTCCTCTCTATTTATATTCCCACTTTCTCTGTATGGATGATGATAATGTAAATCTCACCACAGACTTCCGGGCCTTGAAAAGTTTCCCATCATTTCCAGGATACCATCCAAAGTCCTTAGCAGCAATTGCAATTCTGTCCTCCAGAATTAGATCCTGACTTATTCTCTACTGTACTTGGGTAATCATAGTACCCAAGGCTCTTGCCACACTTGGCAATTCATCCTTCCAGAATATGCCAATTTATATTCACTACTAGTGCACAGGAACATTGTCCAAGGTTTGCTTTGAATGTCCTCTCCTACTCTCCTAACCTCCAATTGGGCCTCCTCTTTCTTGCAACTGAGCACAAGTACTGCTCTGTGCCACTTTTTCAGACCCTTCTTCTATATCCCCCTACCACAGTGTGGCGAAGTAGTTTGCTCCTGGGTATTCTCATAGTACTTAGGTATTAGCTAGATTGCATCTATTCATTTTTTTAAAAATGTGTTTATCTCCCTGCCTAGACTATGAGCCCTTTGAGGACAGTTATGTGAACTTAATAATTCTGTCTGACTTCAGATTCTTCATCCATAAAATGGACATTGCCATAACCCCACCATCCTCAGGGGTCATCACAAGAGTGAAATGACAAAATATGTGAGAAGAGTTTGGGCTCATAAAAGGCATTCAGTAAACAAGAGTGTCTTTATGGTTGTCACTCCCAGGAGTGATGCCTGACACAGGAGGCTTCCAGAGATGAGAGCTCAGAGCTCACAATTGTCCCAGCCAAATTCTCAGCAAATTAATGGTGCTCACAAGTAGGCTTAGGCCCCATCAATTCCTTCAACTTATTACAACAGAATGACTCTATATTTGTTATCTTAGCTCTCTGTATTTCAACTTCCTTGTCTCCAATATGGAGATAATAATATTACACTTACCTCACGTGGTTGTTGCAAGAATTAAATGATAGGATACATGTAGGTATTTGTGTTGGCTACTTTTTATTATTTATTAATAAACACCATGGAGTAGCTGGATCTATGGTTGGATGATGATTCATAAATAAATTAGTATCTTAATGATGCTACTTAAAGATATTCCTATATGAAGAGATGGAAACTTGGAGAGTCAAAGCCAGTGACAGCAATGGTTTCAAATAGTTAACAAAGTGAGCCACAGAATTCTAGCCCAGGATAGGGAACCCCCACCCTGCTCACAGGCTTAAAAACAAATCATCATGTACTGCAGTTGCTATTAAAATTTTTTTAAAAATTTTAAAAACCTAATGGGTAGGTATGTGCCCTTTTGAGTAGTTTAAACCTAAAGAAGGCCAGAAGACTTTCACAGTCATGCCAGAATGGCCCTAGTATTCATCCTTGATTCTGTAATTAGGGGTAAAACTTCACTTCCATCTTCCCTCATTGTGGACATTGCACCAGATGGTATCAAAGCTGTGCTCAAAAGCTCTTGATGACTTTAGTCTTGCCTAGATAGCTAGCTCTCACCTCCCCCAGCCAGCATTGTGGTCAAATGCTGGGCATGGAGCCAGACTGCATTAGTTACTTTACCAGCTCCAGTACTTATAGAGCGGCAAATTACTTGGCCCTTTTAATCTCTGATTTCTTTTTTTATAAAGCTCACAATTACTCCAACTGAATTCTTAGCAGTACTGGTACCAAATCCCTAGGGTTGGTCACTGTGAAGATTACATTGAATATGCCATATAAAACCAATATTTGGTATACAGTAAGTGTTCAGTAAATGCTAGCTGTTTTGATTAGTTGCCTACAGGCTACCCTACCCACTCTCTGGTGGAATCAATGAAAAACCAGCTGGTTCACTTGTCAAGATACCTCTCTGTTTCCTCTTATGTGGCAACACTATATCCTGATTGCTTGACCAAAGCCTGCATCTCCACTGAACCATGTTTCAGAGAAGATCAATGCCCAAACTCCTCTTTCCCAAATAATTCTACTTAGCCTGACCTGTTCTTTGTTGCTTCTGGGCCTTTGCTTATACAATTTCCTCAGCCCAGCATGTCCTCTTCATCCTCTCTGCCTTTCTTAAATGTCAGCTCTCCTGTGAAGCCCCTCTTGATTTTTCCAATGGACACATTATCTCTTCTTACTTCACTTTTAGATGTGTAGCTTAATCCTACTTATTAATCTGATCACTCTACCCCTAAGATGTAAGCTTCCTTAGGAAAGCTTTTATCTTACTCATTGCTATCTCTCTGCATACACTCTAGAACATAGGAGTTTGTGAGGTACAACACTTTTGTCCTTCATTATATACTCATCAAGGATAATTTGTGAGACCTCTGAATTTCTCTGTTATGAGAAACATAAATCTACAGGAGATAGAAAGTGATGTCTAGATGAAAATGGTACTTAGAAGTTTGGTCTCTCTCCAAGAATTTAGCTGAAATAAGGACTTAGCTTCAGATGTTATAAGGAGATAAAATCAGTAAGCCGAGATTAGGGAGGAAATGTCAGCATGAGGTTATATTATTGAGGTCATCCCTTCAGGCCTTATGGGCTACAGGCATCTGAGTAGCACCTAGAACAAGTGGATAACTCACCTGAAGGGTAGGAAGCTGGAGATCTTGTCTCCTGACTTGCACATGCCCTCAGGTTCTTTCCAGAGGTCATAAGCTGCTCTATACTTCCAGGCTTTGTATATATAAGTGTAAAGCCTGGTGGCTTTTCAAGGGCCCTGGCTCAGAAAGTGAAAAAATGTACAACATGGGACTCAGGGGGAGCCTGGCCAGTGGGAGGTGAGCCTCAGCTTGTTGAAATATCCACAGACACTGTGGCTGAAGTCAAACGTGGGCTTGGAGAAGATAACATTGGGCACTGACTTAAGTCGAGACTCAGGGAGTCTCAAGGAGTTGGAATAGTTCTGCAGAAAAATAACTCTAAATTAATTGCAGGATTTGGCAGAGGCAGAAGTTGAATGGTAACACAGTAGTAATCGAGCTTTGGCTAACCCTAAAAAGATCTCTAGAACGAGATGGACCTTCAGAGATGTTCCAAGTAGAGGCAGGCACCACCTCCACTTTGGTCCCCTCGCATCAAACAGCAACTGGACTTGTCTTGGCCTGGAGAAAGGACATAAAATAGGCTTTCCTTCTACAGATGGTGATTCCATGGGAGGGTCCCAGCTGCTACCATCAGCACATGGCACTCTTAGCAGCTGGGAGAATGGGCTTCAGTTGTGAAGCATGGACCTATGTGGTACTTGCAGCATCACTACGAGCACCAAAGTTTCATTTCCACTCCTGGCAGAGTTGAGATCAGCTTGTGTCTATCATTACCTCCACTGTCAACTGAGTCTTCAAAGTGATTTCTATATTCAAAACTATCGAAAAACTTACAGGAGACCTGGTTGAATAAAATCCACTTGTCACAGGGTTTAAAAATGACTTTTATCAGCTCTTTCTTTCCCACTCATTCTAGATTTTCTTCACCTTTGGCAAACACTTTGGCTGCTCAGTTACTTCCTCATTTTGGTGATTTAGATTTTCATCCCTGTGGACTCTGAATATTTAGTAACTCTTGTTAAGCCTTGAGCACTGCTATTGTTCATTCACCATTTCCAGTGGAAGAACCAAAAGCCATTCTCTATGAGTTCCTAAGTTCTAGCCCCATTCATCCTGCTCTCATTTTATAGTAGCAACATGGGTCTCAACGTAATTCATTTTTTTAACCTATGCCTCCATTTGCATAGGCAGTTCAAAGTGACCTGGTGCCAGTTACAACTTCAGGTTTAGTGAAATGTTTGTTGTGTTCCCTGGTGGAAATTCTTTTTCCCTGGATATCAGGACCACTGACCAAGCAGAAACTAAGTGTAGATGAAAACCATAAATTCCACAGGTGGGTCACACTTGGCTCTTGGATTTTATAGAACTAGAAATTATGGTAGATTCAAGAGTAACCTTCCAAAATATAATGTTCCTATTATTGGAACCTGTAAATCTTACCTTATACAGAGAAACTGTCTTCTTAGATGTGACTGAAGAGTCACAGAGTTAAGAGTTAATTGTCCTGAGATGATGAGATTGCCCTGGACTATGCAGATGGGCCCAAGCACCATCACAAGTTTCCTTATGAGAGAGGCAGAGGGAGAAGAGATACAGATGGAAGATGAGAAGGCAATGAGAAAAAGATAGCAATGATTGGAAGGATGTGGCCACAAACTAAGGAATGCTGGTAGCCACCAGAAGATGGGAGAGACCAGAAATGGATTCATTCACAGATCCTCTGGAACACCTCGATATTTAATCTAGAGATAATGGTTTTAGACTTCAGGCCTCCAGAATTGTAACCCAATAAATTTCTCTCTTTTTAAGTTACCAAATTTGTAGCATTATCTTTATAGCAATCACAGAAAACTAATACAGGGATACAGCACAATATATCACTATTTATTTCATGCTTATACCACATAACTAGAGAAAACAACTTACCTCTTAGGATTTTGCCCCAAACTGGTACCTGAGTATTTCATGAATCACTTCATTATTCCAGTATTTCTACATTTTTTGATTCATTGTCAATAATTACTAGAAAACAGATTTCTATGGACACTTTGGCAACAGTGCTTCTGAGCCCACCAGATCCGAGGCTGAACATTGGTGTGAGTTTATGTAAAGATCAGAAATGATCTTGCTAGACTACAGGTACACAATGGGCAAGAGGGAACCCTGAGTCAGAATGTATCTTCTACATTGTTCACTTTCTCTGCAGAATGCTCAATCAAAAGAATTTCTGACTTTTAGCCATAGAAATATGCCTGACGGCAGCTGCTTTAGTTATAGAAATTGGCGCTTTGCATCTGTTCTATTTTCTACTCAGGTGCCACACAAAATTCAGAAGGAAAGCATATGAACCTTAGTAAGACTCTTTGTTTTCCCTTTCTCCTACCCCCGCCTCCAAGTGAAAGGATCATTAGGGCTTAAATCTTCCTCTGCAAAGCAAAATGAGTGAATTTACTCTTCCAGGCAACAGAGCTTGAGTCTGACTTCCTCTCTAGCTTGGAGCACATGCCCGCCCTTGGCAAGGAGAGAAAGAAAGGCTATTGAGTACTTTTTCCCCATCTGTTTGATAAAAAAGCATGTTTGTTTTTGTTCATAGATTTAAAGCCCAAAATGGGCCAGTACTGTAAATAAAACATGCGATCTCATTTGAAAAATTTATTACAAGGAATTTTGTTTATGATTTCATGTTCTCCAGTAATAATTAATTGGAGGTCTTCTATGGTCCCTGCAGACCAACAATCATTCAGACTGTAGGAAAAGATGATCCAACACAGCCTCCCCTCTGTCTCTCAGCCATAGCCAAAGGAACCATCACTTGCTCTTTCCATTTTAGCCTACTTTGGGGAAGTCACATTTATAATATGACTTGTCTATTGAAGTATTCGGGGCATATTCACCCCAAGTGGGGTGCTGATGTCAGAGCACCCTTTTGGGAATTTCTCAAGTCAGGAGACTCTACCCATATACTGTCCTGAGCATTTAGATCCATGACTCCCTTCACTCTCAAGTGCTAAGAATGGACAGTTATTCAACTCTTTGGTGTAGCAAAGAAAACACACAAATATATACATATCCCTATTCACACAAACGATGACCAAGATTCAGATAAACGCTAATAACTAATGTTTGATGAGTATTTTTGATGTGTTGGGCTCTGTACCAAGAGCTTTTTATACGAATTATATCAGACCTGATGACAGCTGTTTGAGTCAGTTCACACTGGGTTATCCTGCAACAAATGATCCCGGATTCTCAGTGGTGGGGTTTTGCTCCACATAACCCTCACTTTGGGATCCAGGAGGACAAGAGCTGGAAAATGTTTTTTATGGCAAAAGAAAGCAAAGTTTTAGAGGATTCCACATCAGCACTCCAATGACACATATCACTCTGCTCACAATTTATTGGCCAAAACTAATCTCACAATCTTTTAACTTACAAAGAGGTCAAGAAGTATGCTCTTACCCAGAAAGGAGGGAGAGTCGGTTGGGTAGCAACTGGAAATATTTAATAAACAGAATTTGTGTTTTTAAAAAATATGTTAGAGATTTATAGATTATAGATGAGGAAACTGAGGAACATTAGAAGTCATGTTATTTGCCCTAAGTCATGCATCTAGTAAATGGGAAAGGCAACATTCAAACTTAGACAATTCGATATCTTCGTGTCCCACCTCCAGCATGTGCACTCACATGTGTTTGGTTGCATGCGCACACACACACACACACACACACACACACACACATGCATGAACACCCCAAGGTGCTAGTTAAGTGGGCCAGGAGCTCTTGGCTCAATATACTCTTTCTATACATCTGAGAATGCAAATACAATGGTGAATAGGAGCTGAAGTCCTTAGATGGTGTTATGTTTTATATCTAGATGTCCCCTCAAAAGCCTCATGTGATCGTAAGTAGGGCTTTGGGAGGTGATTGGATCATGGAAGCATGATATTCATCAACGGATTAGTCTATGGATGAGTTTATAGTTAAATGTGATTTGGGGTGTGAAGCCTGATGGGAAAAGGTGGGTCACTGGAAAGGTCTCTCTCCTCCCTTGATCTCTCTTTGCTTCCTGCTGCCATGCCATGAGCTGTTTCTCCTCTGCCATCCCCCCCTCTGCCATGCAGTCCTGCCTTGGAGCCAGCTGGCTATGGACTGAAACCTCTACAAACTGTGAGCCAAAATAAACCTTTCTTCCTTAGAGTTGTGGATGTGGAGTATAGTGTCTCAGGGATGAGACAATAACTAAAACAAAGAAATTGAAGGGCAAATCAGGGGAATTATATTTAGCCACTAAGTCTAAAAGGCCGATGAAGGCCAAAAAGGAAAAAGAAAAAAAGAAAAGAAAAATTAAAGCCAAGGTTGAGAACAGGACAAACTGAAAGGGAATATAGTTGGCAGCAAAGAAGGGCTAGTCTGGTGCTGGACACTGACCACAAAAGAGCCTTTGTGTTTCTGGAGCGTGGGTGGCCTTGGCTTGTTTAAAGGTCTAGGGAGGAAGCAGAGCATGACACATATGTCTCAGGCAATCCCTAGTCTTATTGCGGGGATGGATCCTTCTTAACTTGGAAGAGGTAGGAAAGAAGCCAAAGATGGAAGGTGAAATGTTTCGGGAGACCCTGACTTGGCCATGTTGCTGCTCAGGGAGGCTGTCATTTGGGTTAGCTCTTCATATGAAACTGGCCTGATCATTTGTCATAATAGATTTAGAGCTAGAAACATTTCTATGCCATGATTCTCTTTCTGATTCAATTCCTTTGAACTCTCATTCTTGTTGCTAGTCCAATGGCCTTTTGAGTTTTGTCTGGCAGGGTCATTCCTGGCTAAGAGCAATTGAAAGAGTTTAATGAAGGGATGACTGATGGAGTAGTTAGTGGACAAGGTTAAGATAATTAACAAGAAATGATGAGCCACCCTGAAGCTGGCAATGGTAGGATGCTGTTAATACTCCAAGGTCTGAAAGGGCAAGAGTGGGAACAGTCATCACACCTGGACAGACCTATGGCTATAGGACTGTAGGGCAGCACCTCACAAGGGGAGGCCTTCAGAAAAAAAGCAAAACAACCAGAAAGCACAGCAGGGAGGGATCTGGGGGAATCAGTATCCCAGCTTCTCTCTACTCCCATCTTCTGAGCTACTGATGAAGCCTCCTATTGGCTGAACTCCAGCAGGAGCCAAAGGACAAGGGAATCTGAATAATGCATATGTAAAACTCACCTTTCCAGGGTACAGACCATTGTGCGGGAGGTTAGAAGGGAACAAATATATTCAGCACATAAACTCTTCTGGGATGCTGGTCTTGATGCTTCAGATGAGCCTCCTCCCATGAATTCACACCACCACCATCTCCTGTAGCTTCTTGCATCCTGAGACAGCAGGTGTGGACTTCTGGCTGCCACTGTAGGGTGAATTGCTCATGCAGCCATTCAGTCATCCATTTAAGAAAACTTCAAACACAGTGACCCGGACCTTATTGTAAACTCTTAGGACCCAGTGGTGAATACAACCGCATGTCTGGCCTCATGGAGCTTACATGCTAGTGAGAAAAACTGACAACAAACAAATTTACAAAGAACTATGAGAGCATGCCAGCTAGGAAAACATGTCAAGGCAGGTGGATGAGAGCAAAACAGGAGCTGTTACCTCTGGATAGGGTTATCAGGGAAGTCCCGTTAAAAGGAGGGGACATGGTGCTCAAGATGCCTTTAAGAATAGAATGGTGTGCCATGTACATACTGTCTGACATTGGGGAACAATCAAAGTCTTTGGGAACAAGACACTACACTAAAAATTTGAAAGGAGAAAGCTAATTAATAATTTCAAAGGGAGAGTTCACAAACTAAGAGAATGAAGCACTCTGAAAACTGAATTTGAAGAAAGGAGAAAGTGATCACTACTTTACATCAGGGAAGGCTTCTTGGGGGAAGCAGTGCTTGGAAGGGCCTACATGGAGGGAACCCCTGACAGGAGGCAAGGAAAAGAGAGGACATGCTGGAGAAAAAGGATAGAGAGGAGAGGGCGGGAGTAGAGGAAGTCATTGTGAACAAAGTGGCCAAGGTGACAGGGAGTGAGTAACAACTGGAGCTTGTAGAACTCCTAATGAGCTTTGCAGGCTGCTGGCAAGGGTTCTACATACGCTTTGAACAATGCTCCAGCAATCTGGCTCCAAAATATACATGCTAAGGTAGTGGTTGATTTAG